GCACGCTAGTGACGGCGTCGAAACCACTGGGTCACCACAATTCATCATCATACAGCGTAAGACAGAGAAGACAGAGAACTTTACTGGTTACTGCCAAACTCATAATGCATACAAGGTAAGTGAGAATGTGTACGTAGGATGGGGATTGAGCCTAATTTTACGGACGATGAAGGAAAGCGAACCTCCAGGGTCAACACACAAATTACATAGTCCAAATATGCATACATACTATTTCAAGCATTCTGGACTGATAAGAAGTGACAGCAAGATCGCCACTGCTATCAGTTTGCTGTCATGATCTTCAGTCTCTCCAACCATCTAGTTACGGAGCCGTTTGAACCCCAACACGAAAGACGAGAGACATCTACTCACATCTACTACGATTGGAGTTAAAAACTTAAATAATGATATTATCGAACCGTCTGTATTTTTGTGGCGTGCTCAATTCCTAGTTGCCATTGACGAGAATCACAATCGCCAAATGAGAGTGGAGTACAGTAAGACTATCAAAGGGTCCACTTATCCAGAGGCACAGCTCTTACATCTAGGAGTAAAATTTTCTTTAACAAGATCCCTAGTTATTTAGTATATACGACTCTAGATCTAAAGGGCATTTATCAAGTACCAACCGGCGAATTCGAAAGAAAATGCACCGCCTTTGAGACTTTCGGCAGCCTCTAACACTTCTATTGGATAGCCATTGGCGTAATGCAACGGCATGTATCTGGGGCTCAATAAAACAATAAGACGAAAATTTGGACGCGATATGTCTTACATAGACAACATAACGATGTGCGGAGTAACAAAGGAAGAACATGATAAGAACTTTAAAGTGATGGAAAAGTATAACTTAGAATTCAGTTACAAAAAATAATGGCCTTCTATCAAAACGATATGATTGCTTGGCTTTGAAGTATCACGTGGGACCATTTGACCGGACCCTATCAACTCCAGTCATTGGGGAATCTACCCACAAACAATGGCAAGAAGTAACAGCAACAGATCGCCGCACACTTTAAAAACTCCTGCTCCTCCTGGATCTCTAAATTTTCCGACAAAATAAATTCACTTGTAACGAATGGATGTTATTCTCTGATCGCAAATTGTTTGAAAAAAATAAAACAAAAGACCGAAAAATCTACCGTCATCTCCATATTTGACTTTACCCGATTATTCGTGGAAACGGGCGAGTGTTACATGGTGTTTAATGTTACATTCACCCTGAACGAAGGACCAGAGACCTTCACAGATGCTTTTTCTCGACGAACATTACTCAGCTGTCGAGAAAAAACATACTATTGCAGAACCAGCCCTAAAATGGTGTTTTTCTCTTAGTGGTTAGTGCTGCTTTACGATTGTCACGGATCAAACGTCAGTTTTGTTCATGTCCAAGCTGGATGAAAAATAAAAAAAACGAAATACAGTTCTGGTGAACTTTCGTACTACATACTATATCGACAAAAGAAAAAATTAGCTGCCGGTGTATTATCCCTTATCTAATCTAAAGGTACACTTGAAAGGACGACTGATATCAGTGAAAAGTAAAATGCTGAACCATTATTATAGACGAACAATCACGAGTTCCGATCTCTTTTAATTGTTCCAACGTAATCGACTGCTTAACTCAATTTTTTGTCGTGATCGGTATGCACCATTGTATTTATTTTGACAGAGGTACAGGGGTCCACGCCACACGGATTGCAACAACTTCCCAATGAAAAAGATACCGCAACAAGCAGAACCTCATAAAAATCACTGAGGAACCAGCGTGCGGGATAATTTGGAAGACGATAATTATTATTCAAATTAATGCGGTCTAAATGGAACAACTGGTACAATCTCAATCAGAAAGTTGTTATAATACGAACCCTTAACAAATGGGTAATATAGCACTGTGAAAATCCAAGAGAACAATGAAAGTGGTCAGGTTATTCAGTATATAACACGAAAATAGGGATAAAAAGCCGGGAATTGTGGGGATAAATTAACAAGAAAACGAGAGATCACCCAAAGGTGAACTCATTATCGCAATACAAAGTTCAGAAAGTATTTACGTAGAATTTTCACAAGCTGTTCGCTTGGATACAGAAAGGGTCAACTTTCATCTGCGGGGTTGGGCTCCCAATGAATAACGCAGTTTTCAGTTTGCTTTTACAACCATTACTATGCACTTTCGTGAGCCGGTTTTTGTTGCTGTCTTTAGGCTGCCCAGTTAAGAGCAGGAGGATTAAAACATTGAGAGCAAAGTCAAAGAGAAGATGAAAAAGTCATAGGCTGAAGTTACAAGAATAATAAACAGATGCACGAACACCACTGTTTGCGAGCACGACAAGTCTACCCTTGTCCCCATAGAACGCGTAATTTCCGCATTGAGAACAAAAAAGGCGGCAAACAAGCTTGTTTCCATTTATGCACAATGCCAGTATAAAGCACTCAATATGAATAACGATATCAGAAGGGGGTATGACAAATTACAATCAGAATTATTTAAATCCGATTTTGAACGTGCATAGTTTGGCATCATCTATTTATTTTTTTTCAACAGTTATCATCAGTTCGGTTTGATATCACTGAAGGTAACCTAAAGCAAGCGTCATTTTATTCTGAATATAAAAACAAGAAAATGCGCGTTCCACGGGAATCAGAAAGGAAGCAGAATTGCAGCGTTTACTGGGAGCCCAACCCCGCAGGTGAGAGCTGATCTTATCTGCACCGAAGCGATCAGATTGTGAAAATTTTACGTGAACGCGCGCTGAAATCTATAATGTGATAATGTCGAGTTCAGCGTTAAGTGCTCTTTTATTTTCATGTTATTCGTTTCTCACTATAACTCTAGGCTCACAATCCCTATTTTGATGTTGTACACCGAATGGTCGTCACTTTGCCCTTAAAAACGATACCTAACGGTGCATATCATGGTTTTGATACGCATCCCTTAGCAAGCTTGGCTAGAAAGCCGGTAAGGGATCAGTGAGTTAAAACTGTAGGATACTGTTGTTATTATTATTACTACTTGTATTTTTATTATGCACAGATTCGAATAAAAGATAGCATTAAAAACTAATGGGACACTCGGTATACTTTCTCACGGCTCTTCGTGTCCTTGGGCGTCTTGTGAACTCAAACTTGCCGAACTTACTTGATCTGTATGATTGTATTCTCTAACTTTTTTCCTTACACTTCATCTGAATCAGAGACAAGCTGTGGTCATGTTTTTGCATACCATTGCTTACCTCTGGAAGCAATGAGTGTTGATGGGGTTTGTTCGGTTGCATATGTCAAAACGTGGCTGCGGAACACTTAGAAGAACACCACTCAAGAGAAATTGCACACTATGGACATTTTCGATTTAAAACAGACTGTGTAGACAATTGAATTTGAAAATAAACAAAAAGACCGCGGTGGGTGGACGGTACAAATTGGGTTGATTTATTCCAGGAAATATTTTAACTGCCGAAATTGTATTGCTTCGTAAGGTTGTGCTGTGGTTAACCACTTACTAGTACGCCTCGTCTGACGAATACGTTAACAACGAGCTAGTCACTAGATACATCAAGTGGCTGTACGACAGAGGAACCTTGGGGTATGCAGTCGGTGTCCGAATGAGCATCTCGGTTCCATACTACTGTTTGCCTCAGACACTCAAGCGGAACCACATTAACATATCTTTTAGGGCAATTTACTCAAGGGGAAACAATCCTAATAAGATAAGATTTGGCTGCCGCAGTGACATCGACGGTCGGTGAAGGAATCTCAATGCCAAAAAGTGGTGCAATACACGGAAATACACGACAGAAATTCAGTAATTTATGAACAAAGAAGGGCCACCATTCATGATAATCTAAAAAAACGATTCCACAGGAATGTCGGCGTCAATGATGACCCAAATTTCAGCAAGAACAATATCATGATCCATTAGGCCACCAAGAATTAAAAGGGGCGATGGACTGATGTATAAAGTGTTACACAAATGCATTTGTATGACTCACACTCCCAGCACATCATTAAGAACCATTCTTCCTTCCTGGACATAATAATTTAAAAATGTGCAACGTGAGAATCATAATTAAAGCTCACTGAGTGAGTTTAGAATACAACACAGCAATAAGACAAAGCACGGAAACTGATTTCAAGTGATCAATCTTCTTTTTCTTTTAAAGACAGTGGGCATAGACCCGTATGAGTCTCCTCGGCGAAGCTCGGTGGCATGACTTAGATGTGCGCTTTCTGTCACCACCTCCACAGAAAGTCGTCTAGCCGACGCGTGGACGTTTGTTCATTGTTCTCCTCTGCCACGTCTCCCGGTAGCATATTCCACAGATTGGTCCCCCGACGGGATAGGCGGTAAACCAGCGGTAATCCTAGTGTGCTGTGTTGCTAGGGTCAGTGCGTGTCCCCTCGTATGGTTGTGCTCTCGAAGCGGAAGCATCGCCTGCAGTTCGCAGCTCAGGTCTCCGCTGATGATGCGTCTTGTGTAGATTAATCATATGTAAGCGATACAGCTGCAAGCAATTTGTGTTCCCTAGACCTTCCTATAAACTGCCGATGGCTAGTTGACCGATCACATGAAACATTACCGCGAACTTTTAGAACTATGTATGCATCGCTTGAAAAATAATAGGATTTGTGACTTTCAGAGTTCTGAAACAATACCTATATGGGTGCTTGTTGTAATTAGAGATCTAAGAATAAACCTCGGAACTGATCACAAAAGCGAACAAAGGTAAAACAAACTAGAAATTATCATAATGGTACCGATGTTATGCAGATAAGAGATCGTAACCAAGCAGACATAAGTGAAGGTATCCGGGGTATCACAATCATCGTATTTAATGAAAGCGGGCCTCACTTGATTCTGAATTAAAAGTAAGACCATTGTCGGGGAAGGGACTCTGCAGCTGACTGGAATCTTGGGGACCTTGCAGAGATGGATATTCGTTATGCCGTGGAACTAAAACTGGGGGTAAAACTGGAAATTGAGTAACTCAAAACTTCACCGCTCACATACCGGGATAATCGATTCTCATATAGTGATAAGGGTTGATACAAACTTCGGGTTCCTTTGAATTGAATGGGACTTTACAAGATTCAACAGATCGTAGTTCATGATGGGTTTGCAGGTCGGGCCAGCGCCATACTCGACAATATATTACATGTGGAAAGCCTTTCCGATGTGAGACCTAAGAATACCATCGAAATTCAAGCAGTAATACATACCTGAATACGTCCATCCAGCGATCGGGGTATAGTGACACATTCACTAGGCTCGTTAGGATGGGTAAGGGCGTATTGCAGGCTCTCAAGAACACCTTTTCGTTTTTTCAACTTTTTAACCAGAGTTTCTATAGCTTTTTGAGCCCACTTTCCCTCTTCATCTCCTTGTTTCCAACCCAATGATCCATTAAGAGCTGGATAGTTGAATTCCGTTGAGGTGCTGCAGCGTGCATTTACATCAAGCATGCTTAAAACGATTGGAATATATAAGCAGCTTCAAGTAGCGCAATAAAATAAAATTTGCAGCTTTAAAGCCCCTCGTAATTTTTTTGCGCTACATATGAGGGAATCTCCGCCTCGTCACCGAAAAGACGAGCTCGGCTACTGTTACGCAAATATTCAAAATACCGCCCTCCCAGAGGTAAACTATTGGTTCAGTCCAATGTCAGTTCAGTTGAGTTCAGTTTGCACAGGACAGTAGTGGCCGAGACCAATCGTGCGTCCAAATCGTTGTGTTGTCAGCTAGACTCCTTGGTGTCCAACACTACTTGTCAAAGGTTCGTTCTGCTTTTTTCTGAAAGGCAGAATATTTAGGTGCAGTATCTCAGTTTAGTCCAGTCCAGTCCAGTCCAGTCTTCACAGGACGAATAATGGCTCTTGCCAATCGAG